GCTTTTTATTGGAACCAGAACACGCTTCACACTAACAACCAGCCCTACCATATATTCTAGCCAACCATTTAGTTTGGTTAGCTTTTATTCTGTCCTTACTCATCATGAGCCAAAGGTCTAGAAAATGTTGGGAAAATGTATACGTATCAAGAAGTGAGTTACAAACCAGGCAAGTCAGTTTTATGCAGCATTTACAATCTTCTCATAAGAATGAAATACCTAGACACATACAAACTACAGAATACATGCTTCAAATGTAACACAAAGAGCAAATTAATTTTGGTGATTGCACATAGAGGTTTGCCTCCTCTCTCTACATGAATCCAGTCACCTTGGTGGAGTCAGAGCAGGATTTTACTAGAAGCAATCTTATTTCTTCCTCCTCCCCACCCTTCTCTAACTACCTTCTGGCTCAACAGCAGGCTGATGGCTTTTTGCACAATCTAATCAGTGATAGGCACCCAGACCAACTTCTCCAGATAGTGATGGATTAATAGCAATGTTGCTTTGGTGGCTAGTGGATGGTAAAAGGCAACTGAGCTAATATTTCTTTATCACCATGTGCTCTATAATGTTTAGGTTCTTTATTTACTTGCTGGTAAATTTTTACAGCCTTGTTCTGCCTATTGCTATAATTTACATTAGGGCATCATTTCTGAAATACAGCTTCTGAACTTTGGACTGTAGTACAGTCACTCTTGTTCTTATGAGTTGACTCTTCTCTGTATAATCACCAAGTTTTCCTTCTAAGGAATTGTTATAACAAAGTCATTTTATATATATTACACCCAGTGTGCAAAATCCCCTCAAGCTGATAACCCGTGGCCCAGAGAAGAACAAAGCTAACCTCTAAAGCAGTTGTTTTCAAACATGACTGTGTGTTAGAAAGAACTGAGGAGCTTTACCAAGGAAGGATGCCTGCATCTCACCCTCCACGACTCTGACTCAGTCTGGGTTTTATTCCGGGCATTACAAGCCGACGTTATTCTACAGGAAGTCCCACTTCTGGAACTGCTTAGAGCTACACTCTAAGATCTCATTTGTTGAAATTCACAGGAGGAAATCAGTCAGAACATCAGCCTCCATATCAGGAGGACTTGGCATATAATTATGGAGCGCCTCCTGCCCAACACAATGCTGACACATACTAGGTGGGCATCAACAAATGTTTGAAGAATAAACGAATATCCTGATTCATAGCATAAGATGCTTAAAGGACCAAAACCAAAAAGATTGGAAAGCTATGTCTGAGCCAGATGGTGCAGGCCTGAAAAGTTCTTGAGCTGGGCTGTTGCATCATCTGAGCTGTTCAACAGGAAATAATCCAGCAGTAGACGCAGGTGATGCTCTGGTTGGAGAATAAACCTAGAAATGGTTTAGGGAGCAAGAGCCCAGAGGGGGCAAATGACCCAAACTAGGCCAGGGGAAGTAGGGATAAGGTGGAAAATCACACTAAGAGATTATTCACTGCTTAGCAAAGAAGCCTGACTTTAGGCATCTTACCCATATCCTCTCCTACCCTGACAACCCAGAAAACCTCAAACGCTACTGTAGTCAGCTCACCTGACTCTTTAGGCGGGACACTCACAGAGATAAGCCTCGCTCCCCGGTCCTTCCCTGGTCAGCCCACTCAGCATCTCCAGAGCCCTCCCACAGTAGTAACAGTGAGACCCACTCACTGAGTAGCTACCATGTGCCAGGCTATCGGAGGCACATTCAGAGCATCTGCCCAATTTTGACAATGCATCTAAACCCTAGCTGAAAAAATGTAAGAGA